AGTCCTTGAAGATGCAAAACGCCAAAAGGTACGAAATCTAATTTTGACAAATAACCATCGTGACGCCGTATTTTTAAGGGTGCATACAAGGAGTGCCTTAAAAGTGTAACCCTTTTATTATTAAAGTTGGACATCAACCGTGATAAATCTATTGAGAGAATCAACATTGGAAAGTAAAAAAAAAAAGAAATAACGACACATAATCTACATGCTAAGGTTAACTTGAATTATTTCCTGATTATTTATGTAGCAAAACTGGGAAAAGTTGTCTCAGAAATGGGATGCTTTTGAAGAGGCAGCGGAGGAATATGTTCGTCCTCGTAGGAAACGATATCGTGTCTGGAGATTTTGCAAACCAAGGTAGAAACTGCTCAGAGAGGAGGAAATGCTGCAATGGTAACGTATTTTTGACACTGATTCTAAAGAAATAGTGTTTAGCCGGATTAGTTCCTAGTTACCTTATTGAAAAATTAACCAGAATCGATGAACATCGTTCACATCGCACAAGATCTAGTACTATGGGGAATGTTATTCTGCCACGACCCAAAACCGAATTTGGTAGGAAAACTTTCCAATATCGGAGTTCTCATATCTGAAATAACCTACCAGCAGGGTTAAAAGATCCGTTTCTAACAACTGTGCAGACCATTATCAACCATTTTGACTCTTGACTATGGATGATTTTGTTAAACTGATTTATTTTCTCAATTTTGATCATCATATTTGCAATAATGGTTTCTGAGGGATTGAATAATGTGCCTATCGTTGGGCACTAGCTGCTGGATGAAATGACTTTTAATGTTTATGTTTATTGTTATGTTAAATTTCGAAAGCTAAATTTAAAGCAATTTTTATGCTCTCCATTTTTAAAATAACGTTTGTTTCATACTGTGGAATGAAAATATACATACTGTACTTACAGTCAGTGGCTGTGTCATGCACACAGCCCTGTTTGACCGACGTTTCTTGTACCGAAGTCAAGCACGCAAGGCCCAAAAACGTTCGCGAGATTTTACGAGATTTATTCGAGACTACAGAAAACACGAAAAGTGCCTAATACATTGCACTGTTTGGCAAAGATAACTAAATAAGTGAAAAGTTGAAATCGTGTGCTTTATTTTGATACCAAAAATACCTGATTTTGACAAATATAAAGTGTTGTTACGGCCTGTCAAACAAAATCATATTTTAATAAACAAAATCGAGGGTTTTAGTTTTTGGGGGAAAAATTCCATTCCTAAAAAGGCCGAAAGCAATATTGTCAAAATCCATCGAAATCCTTTTTTTGAGAAAAAAAAGATACGTTGATGGATGTATGAATAAGGTCTGTCACTACCTAGAACAACTTTCTTCGTTGTTTGAATCGGTCGTGGTTTGCAATGAAATTGCGAATTTTCTGAAGCCCTTTTTACGGCCTCGTTCGCTGGCCTCGCGTTGCTGTCAGTTGTGTGGACGAGAAAATACAGCAGCTAACCTGACATGGGAACTGACTACTTATAATTTGATGTTATTAATTGCATGTTCAAATTGTGTTTTGATGTAGTATTACCCCTACTTGGAACCATTGGAGATAAGTTCTAATAAAATTACTGAATGGGACACCAAGTATAAAGTAGAAATAACTAAATCAATAAATAAAAGAAGCCAAACATTTAAGGCTTATTTGAACATGTAAGCCTATTAAAACTTAATTCATTCCAACTTAGACTAACATAACTCGTTCATTTCAGTGAGTAAAATCAATTTATTTGTTGACAGAAAATTTGTTCATCGTGTAACTCAAACAACAACGTTGGCTAATTTTGCAAATGTTTACAATTTCTTAGGTGTCTGCAGGAATAATAGCCTGTGGTGCTATTGTCGTTGGAATCGCATCAGCGCCCTTTTCTGGTGGGACATCACTTGGAATGGGTCTTCTTCAGGCTGGTATAACCCTTGGTCTTGTGTCTTTTGGGGTCTGGAGCTTAGCCAATCTTATCATGTCGATTGTAAAACTGTGGCTTGCAGAAACAAACGCCAAGACCATTTCAGAGAGAGATGTCATTGCAACCCAAAGCTTTCAACGTGCATTTGATGAGCTGAATTCCGCCTGGTCAGAGCTGAAGGCATTTGGCACAAGTGAAGGCAGCGGTCCTAGTGCCTTCAGAATCGAGCGTACGTCGCACCATTTGTTTGACGTGGCAGCAGATCCCCAGCTTCGCTATCGCGTGAGGGATCCTTGGGCTGAGTTGTCGGTCGTAAGGATCCCACCAAATTTCGAGGAAGTCATCACACCTGCCATCATCGTCCAGCGTAAGAAGCTCAAAGAAGTGATAGATGCAATTCACAACGTCACTGGAGCAATCAAAGCCCCCTCTGAAGGCGAGCTCCGCACTCTTCTTGACGATATGAAATCTCACATGGTAAATTAGACGAAAGTAAAAAGATGGCTTGGGTGTCAAAACACTTTTGTCTGATGGTATGTTTGTTCCCCTTTGTTTTTGCCAAGTTATTACATTTTGTTTAGAAATGTATCTAATATCAAGCTGTTATTTGTGTTGCCGAGCAAGGTAGATCTGTTTTTAATGTTGTTGTGGAAATGTTTGAATTGTGACAAATATACTGCAGTGATTATTTGGCAGCCTTTTCAGCAAGATATGTAGTTGACTTACATAAAAAAGTCAAGTTTTATTCATAAACATTATTGTCATGTAACAGCGTGGTATGTCGTGGCACTAAATTAATTTGGGGGCAAAATGTTTGAATTTACACATAACTTTGTTCATAGCCATTACATTCTATCATTTCAAACCTTCAAAAAAGCCAAACGCTCGCCAAGTCAGGGTCGTCAAACAATTATGCATTTGTGTTGAGATAGTTGCCTCTGTAGGTTTTTACTTACGAAGGCCTACTGGAATTGTCATGATACATTATATTTCCTGATAGAGGTAAAACATAACACTTGCTGATTATGACTGGCTGAAGAAAATCAAAAAATCATTTCACGCAAAATTAGGAAACTGTTTAAGAAACCAATCCGTTTTTTTTTTTTTGGCAGGGATTTTACACAAAATTAAAAGAATCAGATTATAAACAAAACGGTGAACAGATCTAAAGGGGAAAACGAATAATCAAAGAGTTCAAAATATGAACCAGATGATTTTTTTTAGCAAAAAATCAATCCGAATTTACAGCATTTTAGACAACACATTTTATATAACACATTTTTACTTTATTTCATTTTATTTGTTTGTGTTATTTTGAATTTGTTTTTGATATGCACTTTAATGCGTGAAAAAAAATCCGACTGTGTAGCATTTTGAAAGTAAATACATATATGTTTTCTCAGTGAATCTAACGTGATATGCCTCCTGGTATTGATTACGTTGTGTGATTTCGTTTGTAAATTGGCTGCTTTTAGAAATGTAATTTTTCGATTAAAATTGATAATGATAATAATGCTTAAAAATGCTGTTGTATATTTCAATTCACTTTGAAATTTTGATTTTGCGTAGATAGGGCCTACATATGCTAACACAGAATAATGTATGTAAGGTAATTTGTGATTTCGATCGGTGTGTTATTTTGAGTTCTTGAATCCAATGTAGTATTTTATACTCATTAATGGAGATCGTAGACCTACA